GGGGGGGGGGAATTTTAGTAAGATTGTATTTTTAATATCTTCTATTTTACTAGTTTCTATTTTTAGAATTTACCTTTGTTGATATGTTATATTTCATGTTTCATTCTTTTAGTATGGGGAGTTATGGTTGATTTTTATGGTTTTCCTAATGTGAGGGCCAGCTCTCTTTTTAGCTTGTAATCATTTTCTATGAAATTGAAGAGGAATTATTATTTTCTCTCCCAAAACCTACAACACACACACAAATATATATATATATATATATATATATATATAGATATATTTCAAAATGTATGTCTAGAGTTTATTATACGAGCCTCCAACCACGCCTAATGTGCCTAACAATTTGAGTACCACCTTCTTAAGTTCAACTGTGCTAGAGGAGATTCGAATCCCCGACCTGAGGGGTCTTATACTGTGGATGCCAACCAATAGGCCGGGGTACACAAATAATTAATTTAGTAGCAACACCTTTTTTATGACATGGAGGTTTTCCTCCAAAAGCTGAACCTGTTTGGCTCGAACCGGTTTAGTTGAGAGGGGCTGAGCTGGCCCTCCTCCCCTCTTTTCATTAGCTAGGAAATTTCTCGCCCTCTTATTTTTATTTTCTGCCCATCCCACTTTTTTTATACGTGCTTTTAGGTCTGATTTCAGATTTTTGAGGACAGCCGCTGACATCCTGTTTTCTTCATCGAGGGCCCCATCCAACGGTTAGGGTGGTGCCCCGGTTGTATCCCTCTCCCCTGTGGTGGTTGTATCTCCGAACCCTTCTCCGACTTCCAGCTGTACTTCCCACAGATCGTCTCCCACTGCCCTCATCCAGCTACTGTTTTCCTTCAGCCTTCCTGTCGACTTCCTCCAGCACCTACCGTCCACCAGCATCCCAGATTTTCCCAGCAGCCTCTGCCGCATCCCAGGTTCCACTACTTCTGCAGACTCCCCACTCCCATAACTTCCCTGTCCAGCAGCAAGCCAAAATTTCTCCTTCCTGCTCAGCCACCGAAGTCCCCAACAATCTGCTGTTACCGTTTTCCTGCATTACCTGTGTAGCCATGAACCTCTCCCCCTCCCTTTTGTTACCGTAAGGCCATCTAGGGCCTCCACCTCTTTCTCCTGCCACCCTCCTTTTCTCTGCTGTCAGCCAATTGCAGCCTAACAACAATTCCTTTCCTCCTACAGCCCAACTCCAATAGCCCAACAGCAGCCTTCACCCTTTCCTTCCCCTCTACAGTCCAATCTACAGCCCCACAGGGGCCCTTCCCCAGTTCCTTCTCCAGTCTAACCCTATTCAGTCTAACCACAGCTCTCCCTCTTTTATTCCCCATTGCAGTCTGAACCCGTACAACCCCTCCTAACCTTCTTGCTGCCATGTCCCTCCACCCCACATACAACCACAACACAACATGCCGATCGACGTGCTTGCTTTGTGTTTGTATCGTGTTTTTTTATTGCAAGTGTCGTCGTTTGTAATCCTTTCAAATTCAACAATAATATTATTATTTCTGTTTTGGTTTAGGTTTAACTGTGGTATCATTTTGTCAATCTTTTTAATATTTATTTTTAAACTTCTGATAGATTATGGTTTCACCTAATTTTTTTTGCATTTTCTCTTTTCTATTTAGTTTCTGCTGCCAATACTTTTTTTTACTTCTAGTTATTGTTTCCAGTAATTATCTGGTTTTTTCATTCAAAGTTATTAATAGTTATGTAGTAAATTCACTCTTAATTTAGACTTTAACCATTGCGAGCTTTGTACGACGTGAAGTTGCAGGAAGTCATTTGTTGGCAATGTCATAGCCAACCATTGCCTATTCCTCAAAATCAGGCAATTGTGGCACACCACGTATGGATCACAACAAACGAGTCTGTTCATGGTGTGTTGCTTATGAGAAATTCTCTGCTAGTAAATTTTAAATTTGGGCTCGTTGCAAGATTTCTTTCCCAAGTCTTATCAGTATTCATAGATTTCACGTTAACTCTCAGCATTTTTCATTACGTCTGAGGACCAATAATGATGATTTTGAGAGCAGAATATTTGTTAAAGATAAACTTGAAAAAGACAATTTTCTTTAAGTTGTTTTGTTGCATTATCTGGTATAGGAATGTGCATAGCTGCTAAACATGATTATGCCATAAAATTTGAGAAAATGTTTCATAAACATTTGCTTCTAAGTTCATATTACTTCACATCTTATGTTAATCTAGTGAAGTTGGAGTCTTGATTTGTAAAATGACACATTTAGTTTAAAGTTACGCTTTCTGTTTTACTGTTGACTGTGTTTTCTCAGATTAGACATGGCGAAGCTGTGGGAATTATTGGTCCTTCCGGAACTGGTAAATCCACAGTGCTCAAGATCATGGCCGGATTACTAGCTCCAGACAAGGTATTGATCATAAATGAGAAAAGTTTGAAAATGATCACCTGACTTTTTTCATGGTTCTATTTTAGTCCCATGGATTATAGAAGTGTCAATTTAATCCCTACTCTTCTAATATGGATTAAAATATTCCGTGAGGATTATTTTAGTCTCCATTAAAATAATCTGGGCTCTTATTTAGCACTTTATAAATGCTGGGACTAAAATGGTCCTATTTAAATAGTCATGGGACTATTTTGGCACTTCACTCAATCATAAATAATGCTATCTGCGTTAAAATGCCCTATTATAGTGCCATGATATGCTCTTACAGTTTTTTCTTCTTGTTTGTCACCTTTGATTTTTGGATATAATTGGACCTCCACTTTAGAGATCAAAGATACTATGACTCAACCAATTGATTGGTGATTGCTCTTTAATCGTTTAATTTGGCTGTTTTGATAGTGTGTTTTATTTTTGCTACTTATTCATTCACCAGGGGGAAGTTCTTATATGTGGAAGGAAAAGACATGGATTAGTTGACGACGAGGAGATAGCAGGTCTTCGAATCGGCTTGGTATGCTTTGTTTTAACTCACTTGAACTTATAAGTCCTTTGTTTTTTAATTGTGGCCATAATATCTAATCTTCCACATTCCCACCACACGCACCCACCCCCAACCCCTCAACTTGATAGTTAGTCATGTGCAATAAATAGCTACAGAACATAATCTGTTTGAATATTTTTACTCTACAATCACGTTTATTTAAAATCACCGTAAAATTTATCCTTTCTATTGAACTCCTAACCAATTTTCATGTGGTTATTTCCTTGGTCTTTCCTAAATACATTCTTTTCTGAGTAATATTCTCTTGCTAAGGTTACCCACCAATACAACCATGATATCTACATGCATATTCTTTTTTGTAAGAGATTAACGATATCAGCAGTCAAAATGAACTTTTAGCTGATGAATGGTTTGATGCTTTATTGCTAGAATTGACGCTTGCTTTCTGTTTCCTCCATGTTTAAACCTTTCATCTCTCTTGAATGTTGTTTTTTTTTTGCCGTTAATGCTATAACTGTCCTTATAGAGTAAGCCTTACTGTTTACCATTAAGTGCAAAAATAGAAGTATTGATCAATTAACTTATTGAAGTCAGTTATATCTGCAAGTTCATTCTTCTAATCATTAGCAGATAGCTTTAAAAAAAAAAAAAACATTGGCCGACGCTTCATTCAAGTACAAATTAAAAATGAGAAGTGTAGATTTAGTACTAGAGTTTATAAGTGTCAATTTAGTCCCAGGCTTTTTTAATGGGTTTTCCTATTTCATCCCATGTTAAAAAAATATGTCGATTAATTTGAGATTTTTGTACACTCTGGGACTATTTTGACACATCACTCAATTAAAAATAGGCGCAAGCCTAGGTGGTATTGTTGTAACAAAGTTCTCAGCTTATGTTGCTGGTTCAATCTTATTGACTAATTATAGCTCTTAACTTTTGTTGCTGGTTCACTTTTATTTATTAATTCTTTTGTTCATTATTATTTATCCAGGTTTTTCAGAGTGCAGCACTTTTTGATTCACTTACAGTTCGTGAGAATGTTGGTTTCCAGCTGTAAGAGATGCTCTATTCTTTTGTCATATTCAACAGTCCAAATTCTATAGCCTTTAGCTTTAGGTTCAGGGCAGAGCCTTCATACAGATAAGCACTTCTAATGATAACTATTTCTTGTTTTTATTTTGTTTCAAGGTATGAAAATTCAAGGATGCTACACGATAAAATAGCTGAGCTTGTCAAGGAAAATCTGGCTGCTGTTGGGCTCAAGGTATCCTAAAATAATTGCCACAAGTTTCTTTATTTCTCTTGTTTTTCTATGTTTTAACGGAATTATAGGTAAAGTTTTATGAATAATAGGATATATTTTTATGAACCTTTAAGAATATCTTTCATGAAAGAATTGTAGGCAGAAAATAATTTGCTTGTTTTTGTTTGTTATTTCCCAAATTCATTGAACTAGCTTCACATTAGTTGTACTTGAACTAGTAAGCAGCTTATTTACATTGATAATGTTTATGGCGGTGTAATTACATCTGCTCTTCTTTAAGTGAATCCATAAAAAGGTGTTTGTCAATATAAAACATTTTGTTTTGTTTCCTTCCATATAGAGATTTTTTTTTCCTGAAGTTGCTTTTAATGGAAAAATAAAAGTGAATGGTAGTAGGGATCCTTGCAATGTTTTCAGTTGCTTTATGCCCATATTTATTTTCTTTGTGGAAATCTATCTGCACTAAATGCAGCTTGAAAAATATCTAATCATCTGAAGTATGGATATTTTTGTCAAGACAAATACTAGAATTGATGAAGGATGGGCTTGTAAAATCAGACAACATATAGATGTAGTCTATTAAACTCTGTAGAACATTCTATTATGAGGCTTCCCCTTGAATTTTCAACTTTCATTGAAATTGCTCATGTATGATGATGAGTTTTCTAAGCTAGCACTGCGACTTCATAGCTAAAACTTAGTAAGACAGTGCATGTATTGATTTCAATTTTTTTAAGACTTGCTTGGGATCATTTTTGCTTGTCTTTAAAAACAAATTGTTTAGTGCATTTTTATTTTTTAAAAATAAACAATCTATTTTTAAAAGTAGGTAAAATAATATTCAGGTGTTTTGAGTGTTTATAAAAAATAACTACAATATCAAACATATTTTATTTTAATTCAAGACATAAACAAAATACAACAAAAACAACAACTACAACAAAGCCTTTATCCCACTAAGTGGGTCTGCTACATGAATCCTTTGCATATTTTCATTTAATTTTAATAAATTATGACCATTTTTTATGCAACATGCCCAAGTCCGTTTAGGTTTACCTCTACCTTTCTTTACATAATTCAAATCTAAAACATCTAAACTCCCAACCAGATCATCATACTGTCCACATTTAATGTGACAAAGCCATCTAAGATGACTCTCTAATCTTATCTACTGCTGGAGCTACACTAAATCTTTTACGGATACATTTGTTTCACATTTTATCTCTAATTGTCGAATGTGACATACAACTTAGCATTATGTGGAGGACATTAGCCATGTTTTAAAAGCTTTACATTGGTTTATTATAATATAGTAAGGTATGATAGAGTTGTTTTTAGTTTTTATTTTGGTCCTGTAGTTTATTTGTTGTAAATTTTCTCTTAAATCTCTTCAGGGGGTGGAGGATAGGTTGCCTTCTGAGCTATCTGGAGGCATGAAGAAACGGGTGGCATTAGCCCGATCTATTATATATGACAATACTAAGGAGGCAGTTGAGCCAGAGGTATGCTTTCTTACATTTTATGGTTACCGTCATACTATCCAACTGGAAGAGCAATGAAAAAGAATGTTTTCGATATGTATGCTTCATTTTAAATTATGCATCATCACTTAAAACGATGGATTGGAGGAAAAGTGATTTTGTTGATTAACTTTTGTATAATGGTAAAACGTAATTAATTTTTATAGAAAGCCAGAACTTAGTAACTTTTTTATCTTATCAAGAAACGTGCATATTTCATTTTAATCATGTTAAGTCTGTGCGCTAGGATTATCTGTGATTAAAAAACTTTTTGAAAGTTCAATGGGTAAATTTTTGGAATTCTCATGCTAATTCTTGCTTTGGGGAGGTACAGCTAGCATATACATGATTTGCCTTGGTTTTATGGGCCATTTGTTAATATTTTGATTTTGGGACATTTAGACACTAGCACCCAATCCCTTTCTACTTACATGCCTAACACCCAAACTTTGCTTTCAACATTTATACAACCCAAATCTTTCCTATCACATCAAAAGTACTTCCATTTTAACGTTTAAAAAGTGAAATATGCCTAGTTATGCATAGGTAAGATGGAATTGTCTGTTAAAAAAAATGAAGTTTAGGTGTTAGATATGTAATTACATAAGAATTGAGTGGTATGTGTGTAAATCTCCCCTTTTTTCCCCCGAAGCATGTAAATAGCTTTAATGATGAAACGAAATTCATTAGGTGCATATATATAATTCTTAGTAAAATATTATTTTCTTCCTTCTTTAATGTGTCCATCTTTATTTAGATTGAATAATACATCTGATTTGATCAGAGTCTCATGACGTTGTTTCTTTTGTCTTAGCTATTTAATATCTATCGCCTCTTTTCTTATCGCCTTGCTCATTATACATATTATCTAGTGATGGAACTTTGGCTTCCATTTTTTTTTTTTTTGCAAGTATTTTTTGCAAGTATTTTTATCCCTTACCCATCCTGTTCTGTTTGATAATATTATTTTTTCGCCATTCTTTGAAAACTTTTTTTTTTTAATTAATGCTCATTTCCTTACTCCACTACCAGTCCTCCATATATAAACCATAATATTTATTTTTAGACTAGCAGAGTTCCAATGGTAATACCTTTTGAGCTTTTAAGTTTGGTTCGATGCTGAAGTTTTAGTTTGATGAACTCAATATATGTAGGTACATACATGCATGCATGTATGTATATGTATAGATATTGTAGATGGTGAAAAAATTTCTTTTTTATTTTAGGCCAATTGTTTTTTTTAATTAGTACTTTTATGTATAAATCCATTACATTCATTTTTACTTAGTGTTTGCAGACAATGCTCAAGCGGTTAATGAACTAATATATGGAAGAAACTAGTTAGTAATAGATGGTAGTAATAGTTTCCAATCACATCAAGATTACATTAAGGCTATTGTGGATGCTTTGGCGTGCTCTTAATGATATTTTTAATCAGTGAGACATTTGTTGAAATAAGTGGAATATAAAATGATGAAAAACTTATTTAGAGAATAGAGGGCTTTAGTAGAACAAAAATTGAATATATCTGCAAATTAGTACCTAGTGTGATATCAATAGTTGTTAGTTAAACTATTTAGAAGATAAAGTGATCTCTAGATGTGATTGATTTATGTATTTTTGATCTATTGCTATAAAATAATAGAGTTGTAGATGAGGACATAACTTCTAAAGTTATGCTAGTTGGTTAAAATTGAGAAATGCCCTGGGAGTATTCCGTGTAAAAGAATATCACAAAGAATTTATGATAAATTTATAAAATTTTAATTGGGCTAGCTATGTTTTATAAACTTGAATGTTGGGCAAGAAAAGATATTGATAGCGAAGTTTGAGTAAATGGAAGGGAGCCATAACTTGAAAAGATAAGTTAATAAGTAATTATATTATTCAGATCGTTGGAGTAGGATTCATTAAAGCTAGCAAAAATGAACTTAGGTGGTTTGTACTAGTGCAACTACTGCTAGAAAATGCCCCATTTAGGCTTATCTATAAAATTAATATAAAAAGATAATTAGGATTGAAAAATGAGTAGACTTAATGCAATATGTATAGAAGTTAATGAAGAGGTTTAAAATCTCATGCAAAGCTTTACATGAATGAATGAAAAATAACGGTGCATAAAACTGATCTTAAGTAAATGATAATGATGATGATACTTAAAAGTAGAAAGGATAACTATTGGGGGTATCTTAAATGAGTATATGGCTCTGGTAATTTGAGCTACAAGAGTAATGCTTATGAGAGAAAAAAAGAACTCTAATGCCAATTCGTCTATATAAACAAGGTAGATGGAATGCATGCAGGAGATGATGCTAGTGGACTGAGTGACATCGAGCAAAAGTACAATTGAGCATGCATCATGTAGTAAATGGAGATGGAGCAAAGGCAGTGAGCAACGACTAGATCAATCACGAGAGAGTAGGGTGTCACATTCCAGCTGACACTCGGGGTCAAATAGTGATGAAATAAAGGCGGTCAAATCAAGCATCATTTACACCAACATTAATTTTAAATTGCCGAAATTATGACCAAGATGCATCACATTTTTTCATTTTTGATGAATTCGCTGCCAATTTATCTGTTGCTATTATGTACTCTACTCCTTTATCTGTTATGCCTTCGAGAAGTGGTCTTTATGCAAATAGAAAATGTATTATGCATGTTAACATTCATGATAAGAAGTTGCAGTAAAGTTGATTATAATATAATTCAAACTTTTGATGTCATATTGGGAATGCACTGACTAGTAAAGAATTTTGCTACGATTAAATGTTGGAAGAGGTGAGTGAAAATCAGTTTACATGGTGAAAAGTTGTTCTATGTCTTGAATTGCACAATCTTCTTTGATTAGTACAGTAAAAGTTGGAGAGTATTGGCAAAGTGGTGAACTGGTGTTTCTAGCCAAATTGAAAGTGTTGAATAAAGATGCGCAGGAAACGGAAAATATCGAAGTCGTAGAATTCGGAAAACATCAAAGTCACAAAATTTTTTGATGTATTCCTTAAAGAACCGTCAGGGTTATCACCAGAACGTAAAGTTGAGTTTTACATTGATGTGAAACCAGGTAAATCTATAATTTTTATATCTGCTTACAGAATGACTCTGAAATAATTGTAGGAATTAAAATGCCAATTATAGGAACTAATTGATCAGAATTTTGTCATTCGAGCAATTCACCTTGGAGTGCTTCAATATTTTATTTGTCAGGAAGAAAGAATGATCTACACAGTTATGCATTGATTATAAATAGTTAAACAATGTGACAATCAATAACAAATATTCTTTGTCAGATATTGATGATCTATTTGATCAGTTAGAAGATATTATTATATTTTCTCAAATTGATTTGAGATTGGGATATCATCAAATCAAAGTTAAGGAGACAGATATAACTAAGACAGCTTTTGTGATCATATATGGTCATAAGTTATGCTTTTTGGCTTAACCAATGCTCATGTTGTATTCATGGACCTAATAAATTGAATCTTCAAACCTCATATGAATCAGTTTGTTATTATTTTTATTGATAATATTCTGATATATTCAAGATTTGATGATGATCATCCTAAGCATCTAAAAATATTATTGGAGCTGCTAAGGCAAAATCAACTATATGCAAAGTTTTCAGATTGTGAATTTGGTTGCAGAGTGTTGCATTCTTGGGACATGTTATCAGTGGGCCAGGAATCTCAGTAGATTCTTAGAAGGTGAAAGCAATTGTGAAATGACCTATTCCAAAGAATGTTATGGAGGTATGCAGCTTTTTTGGTTTGGCTGAATGTTATAGGAGATTCATTAAAAGATTTTCATATATAATCATGTCATTGTCCAAGCTGATGGGGAAAGATATTTAATTTGAGTGAACTGCAGAATGTGAACATTGTTTTCAAGAATTAAATAAATATTTGTCCACTCTTCTAGTGTTAGCCATTCCAATAAGGTACAGAAGGGTTTCAAATTTATAAGGTTTCATTAGTTCGACAGTCCCGAGGTTATTACGATAAATATTATGACCCAAAGCACAAAACAGTAGAATTTAAAATCGGTGATTTTGGATTTTAAAAAGTTAGACCAATGAAAGGTATTATTAGATTTACTCATTGAAGTAAGTTGTCCTAGGTACATTGAATATGACAACTCCAATGTGATTACTTCCGGCGTGTAATAGATAAAAGTCATTGACAAAATTCAACTTCTATTAATCTAAATATTGGTTTTTTACGTAGACTCAAGCAAGTTATCTTTCAATATAGTTTTAGGAGCAATAACGAAATTGCTCATACTTGTGCCTAGATGGCCATAGAGAGTGATTTTGTTTTGACTCATGTTAATGTTCAAAATCCTCTTTCTGCTTTTTTGCAATAGGATATGGCCCATTTTGGCAATGTCTGTGGGGCATAATTTTTGTACCTTTTGATTTTATATTAATGCAAAAGGCTATATTTCACAGAATATCAGCCCTTTTGAAATCATAGAAATGATTGGTTTAGTGTGTTTCAGGCTAGCTTTACCTGCTAAAATGTTAGATTTGCATGATGTATTTCACATCTCAATGCTGAGAAAATGAGTTTCAAACCAATTTCTTTTGTGAAGATAAAATAAAAACACATGATTGAAAAGAAGCTATATGGGAAAAGAAGAATTGCGACAAAAACATCTCTTTATGTTAAAGTAAATTCAGAAATTTCAAGGACAAAATTTTTCTTTTGGAGGGGAGAGCTATAACACCCAATTTTGAAAAACCAGGTGAATATTTTGGCAATTTTAAAGCATATTCCGAATTTCTTATTCCTCAAAATTTGACCAAATCAATTTTATAATTTTACACATCGAATTAATCAATTTGATATGTAGCACCATGTATGAATTTTTAACGTGTGAGAATGTATAAAATGATGAAGTTATAAGTTTAATTACCTATAATTAATCCCGATCCTCGTCATTGTTACCACTCGATTCCCTCTCTGCACTTAATTGTGCATGCGTCGACTTGATGAATTGAACAGAGGGGATTAATTGGGATCACATTTCTATGTTGCACTTCCCTTTCATTTCTCTCCTTTCCCATCTTTGGATTTCGCTCGGATGAAGGCTCGTGTGATCTGGCACCGTAACAGGCGCAACCACGCTAACCGTAAGGCGTCGCAACTCATGATAAGACACTCAGGGGAGAAAACCATATGAATTCTGAATTCCTCTTTCATGATAATTGAGACATTCATTTTCTTATGTTTCTATTTTGATTTTTGCCATGAAATCAAGTGTTCCACTTGTTTTGTGTTGTAGCAGCTTTGCGGGATCAACCTCAAGACTGTTGAACTGTGAGCTACGCTCTCCGGTAGGTCCATTTCATGTGCAAGGAGAGGTTAAGGGGACATGAAGGAAAAGGAAGAAAGGAAGAAGAAATATAATAATCTTTAGGAAAGATATATGCAGATAAGCCTATGTGAGGTAACAAAGTTATGTTTGGGGCTAAACTCACGAGATTAGTTAAGATTTCAGAAATCTTAAGATATTTACAAATTTCAGGTTGTTTACACTAGGCGGCAAGCTCGAGACAAGCTTGGGCAAATTCGTCGTAGGGCTTCTCTGTCGATTTAGGTGAAATAATCATATATTAACTTAAAAAAATAACTCTTTTGTAGGTTTTCATGTGATTATGTGTTTGACACTATTACATTCAAAAGTTTCTACATATTATGGATGAATACCCGCATAAAATGTATGAATGCAAATTTTATTTCCTTACGATATTTTTGATTTTACTATGGTATGAATCTGATGAATATGTTCATGAAATCATTACATGCAGATATTCATTTACTCTATATAAAATGCCTATGATGAATGTGTTACATGAATTATGATTTAAGAAATGTCACAAGTAATGTTATGTGTAGACTATTATTAGAATATTTGTAAGAAAAAATGAGAGGGAATAATGAGATTCCTGACTTGGTATTCAGAAAAAGATGAAACTCCAGGAACCGATAGGATCAGATGACAACGAAATATATGGAACTGTTGGTACCATGAGAGCTATTGATAACTTATATGTTGTGAGGGCCCAATCTTTATCAATGGTTTATGTAGCCTTCATGTTTGGTGATAACTTTTAACATGACAAAATATCAAAGTAGTTGAGGCCTATACAATTATAAGTGATATTCTTATGATTAGATTGATGACTCTTATGAATATGTTTATGATTGCACATGAATGAATGAAATACTTATTTTATATATTTGTCATGATTCCTTGTATTATATTTCTTGTATTATATTTCGTGCTATAGTAGCTTTGCAGAATCAACCTCGAAACTGTCGAACTGAGAGTTGCACTCTTTGGTAGGTCCATTTCATGTGTAGGGAGGGGTTAAGGGGACTTGAAAGAATATACCTTGTATTTTAAAACATGTCTCTCGTTTCTTCTTAGACCATGTAGTTATTTTACTTTTCCCCTTTCGCTGCCAAAGAATATTCAAGTTCTCCCACAAAAAAAATGCACTCTTTCTTAACTTGTTGGCGGCTAGTTTCACCATTCCATTTGGTGGGAGGTCTAGACACCCAATGACACGTTTCATTGTCTAGAGCTACTTAATGAAATGTCCGATTCCATATTGTCGTAAAAAAATATGACAAATCCGTATTTGCTTCAAAATCCTAGCTTCTCCAATATTTCATGCCAAATCTTCGCGGTAGTAGTTCTTCATCTCATGAATCAACTTAAATTTGTGTGACTCCGTTGGATGGTCTCTTTTCCAAGGCAGCGAGCTTTTGTTACAGTTGCAGGATTTTCCATTGCATATCATCCCTAGAAATCTTTTGAACACTTCTTTATGGATTCTTCATTGGTGGCATCATATCTTTTTCCCTCGATTAGGTTTCTGGCTATTGTCTCTTCAGTGGCATGACTAGGGTTAGGGTTTGGGTTGGTGGAAGAATGTGTATAGGGTGATGTAGGATGAGAAAGAATAATTTTTAGTTAGGTAGAGGGGGATTTAGGTAACCTAGGGTAAGACTAGGGTTAGGTTGGCTCTGATAGCAAATGATACCGGAGTTAACTCAAACAATAATAGGGAAACTAAATATTATTGTTGAATTCATTCAAGGGATTACAACCACAGAAACAAAAATAGGAAATTGCAACAACCACGACACACGACACGCTGTTAGGGTGGATCTCGAGTGGTGTTGGTGGCCGATAGGGGCTTGGAAAGGGGGGTAGCAAGGTAAGGAACGTGCGAGACTGCAGGGAAACAATGACAAGTCCACTTCAGCTTACTGTCTTTGGCGGCAGAAAGCAGGAAATGGCTGCGACTGCAGGAACCAGCAAGAATAAGCTGTCCCGAGGTGCTGAAATGAGGGAGGACAGCAGCGGGATGACATTCTGGGGGTGGAAGCAAGTCCGGGAGATGAGAGGGTGGCTGGGAAGGTAAAATACTGCAAGAAAACAGTGATTTCCTGCAATTCCGGGAGGCAGCATAGAAGGAAGTTGGCAGGAAGCGATGCGGGAAGGTAGAGGGAAGTTGCGTGGGTTGGCAACAAGGCTGGGAAGGGAGGGAGGTGGCTGGAAATCAGAGAACTGCAGTAAAAAATAGCATAAGCTGTTGTTTCTGGTGGCTTCAACGAGGTACAACGGCGGGGATCGATGTGGAAAGGGTGCGGAAGGTTAGGGGAAGGATAAACACCTCCTTAGGAGTGAGATACTGCTGGAGCACCACTCGACCCTTGGAAACTAATCACCACTTTGGAACGAGATATAACCGAAACACCACTCACCCTTGGATATAACTTTAGAAGGGAAAACATGAGACACTAACGGCTATCTTGACAGAAATACACCAAAACTGAAATTTGAACCCTATAATACAACACATCTATAGGAATAACCAGAAGGAAGGAAAGGAAAGAAGTCGACTTGCTAAAAATTTTAAAAATATCGCAGGAGTGTTGTTTGGTTTGGCTTTGTGCCCATCACGTGAACCGGACGCCGCTTGCTGTCACAGAATCGCGAAAGTTCCGCTCTTGCTCATATGCAAGAGACGCCCACGTTTGTTTGATTAACTAATTGAATAAGCTTGAACAATTTTATAAATACTCGATTATTAACTAAATAAATTTGTGCAACTCTTTGTTCAATTTGTTTATGTTCTTGAACAATATTATTTAAAGCTCGCGGACAAACTTGTTAAGAAACTCGATGAACAGTTTCATTTATGGTTCATGAACATGCTCACGAATAAGCTGTAAGATGCCATTAGGCTTGACTGCCATAGATAATTTTTGTGTTATGCATCTAGGTTTATGGCGCATGCCTTAGACTAACCTAATTTTAAAGCACTAACATGGATAGCAACTCTGTTTGCAATACTTTTGATTGGATGGAAAATCAGTATTAAGAACACCAACCTAAATAATTTACCTAAATAATTTAGATAAGGCTAATGATAACGACGATAAGAAAGTATTGTAGAAACCATCGGGATTGCATGATAGCTCAATATAACCAATAGTGCAAATGTGAAAATAATACTGAAAGTCATTCTTAGTCCATTAAACAACAAGTCGTTAGTTGTATTCCTACTCGGACGTCTTATCTTATGTTTTATTTATTGTGGTGTCTAGTCAACACCATTATGTCAAATGCTTTGTTGCTCAATGTTTCACATGTAAAACAATGATAGTTAAGTTTTATAATAATAATAATAATAATAAGACAATAACGCCCGCAAAGCACTAGTTTTATTCAATCCGTTACATGAGGAACCCACCTTCAGGTACTACTATATGACGAACCCACTGCAGGATTGGATCCGATTGCATCAACTGTTGTTGAAGATCTCATCCGTTTGGTGCATCTGAAAGGAGAGAGCACCACTAATAGGCTCGGAAAGATTGCATCGTACGTTGTTGTTACTCATCAACATAGCACCATTAGAAGAGCCGTTGACAGGTATGTATATACATATGTGCTTTTTCTCTTTTCCAGTAGGGTGAATTCTAGTTATTAGCTTACAGACAAACAACGATGTGGCAGATTGCTTTTTCTGTATGACGGAAAGATTGTTTGGGAAGGAATGACTCATGAATTCACTACTTCCACTAATCCAATTGTTAAGCAGGTTAGAGGGAAATTGATTTATCTTATAATATCATCGTTTTTCTGGAGAATTATGAATGATTTAAGAACTGTAAATTACTTGTAGTTTGCTTCAGGGAGTTTGGATGGGCCAATTAAGTATTGAAAATAGTTTTGTCACTATCATCTCAACCGTTGTAGATCTATTGAAGCTGTAAGTTTGTCATGCCCTTAAACTCCTATTTTATTTTTGCTGTTACTACGGTTCAAAGAATTGGGGCGTTTACATACATACCACCCAATTCCTATGCATACATATGACACCTAAACTTTGCTTTTTTACATTTATATCTTCCAAATCTTTCATATCACATAAAAAATACCACTACTTTAACATTTAAAAATTAAAATACAAATTTTAATACATAATTAATGTGACATGACACGGGCGTCTTATTTATCTGGGCCGTTCAATCGAAAGTTATTGAGGGTCGGCTTGCCCTCTAGTCTTGGGAGTGTCGTTTCTTTTTAAGAGGGGGCTTACTCCTAGTTATCTAGGAATATATATTTGCTTTTGTTGGTGTTTACTGTTTAGTTTTTTTATTTGCTTTGGGACAGTCGTCAACATCTCCTTTCTTTACAGGTTGTATCCAAGGGTTCCAAGTGGTGTTTCGACTGTATCTTTGACTTCAAGTAGTGTTATCCTTTTTATACATTTTCCCCATCCTTCCCACATCACTCCTACATCCCCTTCATTGTTGGCCTGCTGTTGTGACCCATAAAACAAGACTTATTGTTTTCTGCATCTAATCTGTTGTTGCAGCCCAGGTATAACAACTGCCTTGCTATCCTCGCCTTCTAGTTTGCTAGCCGCCTCCTTGCTACTACTCTAGAGTTCCAAACCCTAATCGACATCACCTACACCTTATTCCCTATTATTTTCCATTATTATTTGTTTTTCAGTTTGTTGTATTTTCAATTTTTGGCTTCTATAAAATTACCAGTAAGTGAGTTGTGTTTCTTCTCACGTTATTCTTATATCTATTCTGGTATCATTGGTATCAGAGCTAGCCTAATCCTAGCTTCATCCTATGGTTACTAAAATTCACCAATACTTAACCCAAACTCCACCCAGACCTTTCATCATTGTTGATTTTTTAAATCAACGCACTATTTTTTTCTCTACCCTAAACCACCTACACACATTTTTTCCACCCCTAACCTAAACCCTAACCATGAAATCGGCAAGACAGGTACTATAAATCGATAGGGACCTTAACATGGGAGAGATAGAACGGGAAATTTGCTTGAGGATGGGACCAATGGTGTTGGTACCATTGATCGTGATAGTGATACTCACAAAGGAAAGGGGGGATAATCTGAATCTCTTCCATAGGTATTATTCCGGTGAGAGGAGGACAATCCACGACGCTTTGGGCTCCAATATTAGAAGAGGCTAATGGATGTAGCATTATTTGGAGGACATGGAGATATGGAAGTAAAGGTAGACTTATTGGATTTTGAGGATGGAATGAATCTGGATGACTTCATTGAGTGGTTGCAGACTGTTGAGATGATTTTTGAGTATAAGGTGTCAGCTGATAGAAGAGTGAAACTTGCTGCCATAAAACTAAAAAAAAGTGCCTCTATGTGGTGGGAGAATATGAAGAGGGTGAGATAGAGAGAAGGTGGGGAGCAAGATCACTACATTTGAGAAGAAGAAGATGCAGAGGAAGTACTTGACCATGCACTGTCGTTAGGATATGTTCTTGAAATCGCATCACCTACACTAGAGAGAGTTGTCCATGGAGGAGTTCATAATAGCTGACAGAGCCAGAAGAGTATACTATAGCTAGATATTTGGGAGGTCTGAAAGTCAACCATCATCAATGTTGTCCAACTACAGTCATATTGGTCGTTGAGTGATATTCAAACTTTAACACTGTAAGAGGAATGAAAGCAGAGGTAGAGCAGGCAGCCACCCGAGGCTGATGAATTGGGTGTTCAGGGCTTACATTGGAAAGTTCATAGTTGTATACTTTAATGATATCCTAGTCTACATATCTGAGAAGGAGCACTTGCAACATCTAAGTATAGTCTTTGAGGTCCTTTGGTTGGAGAAGCTATATATCCATCTGAAGAAGTGTCACTTCATGATGGAACATGTGTTTTTGGGTTATATTGTATCAGGTGCAGGCATTGAGATGTAACCTATGAAGATAAATGCTATCGTGAGTTGGACACTCCCCAAGTAATTTATAAAGCTGAGGCAATTTGTGGGGCTGACATCATTTCATAGGAGATTCATCAAAAGCTTCAGCACCATTACAACTCCCCTGACAGAGCTCTTGACAGGAGAGAAGTTTTTGTAGATAGAGGCCACTCAGTTTAACTTTGACATTCTGAAGAATTAGGTGACTATGGCCTTAGTGTTAGCACTACCAGATTTCAATCAATTGTTTGAGGTGGAATGTGATGCTTATAATGTGGGGATTGTAGTAGTGTTGAGTGATGGAGGGCATCCCATAGCCTTCTTTAATGAGAAGTGACTCCAGGATGATGTCTTCGACGTATGATAAGAAGTTCTATACTATTGTGGAGCTCTTAGTCATTGGAGTCATTACCTGTTAACTAGTGTGTTTACCTTATTCACATATCATGAGGCTCTGAGATTCCTAAATAGTCTGAACATGCTAATGGGCAGACATGCTTCTTAGGTGGGGTTCTTGGCTTCATTTCAGTTTGTACTAAAGCACAAGGCCGAGAGTCAGAATCGAGTAACAGATGCCTCGAGCCATCACCACTTACTGATCACCTTCATGCAGGCTAGATTTGTGGGATTCGAGATGGTGAAGGAGTTATACAAGGCACATGAGGACTTCAAGGAGATTTGGGACCAGTGTCGGGAGAGGCCTTAAGAGAGGCATACAAGACAATACCATAGATCTGATGGCTTCCATTTCATGAGAACAGGCTGGTTATTTCTAAATATTCATTGAAAGAGTCCATCATATCTATTAGCAAGTCATGTTAGCAGAGACAAGACCCTCGCACCTGTGAGGAAATATTATTCTAGCATAGATTGATGAGGGATGTAGAGAGGTATGTCAGACAGTGTAGAATTTGTCACCTGAAAAATATCAGGGGCATAATACAAGGCTATACACACCATTACCAATACTAGAGACTCCATGATTGAATGTTTGTATGGATTTCGTTGCGGGCCTTCCTAGGACACAACAGAATGAGGATTCGGTTATGATAGTGGTTGACAGGTTTTTGAAGAGGACTCATTTTGTACCTTGCCATAGGACCTTTGATTCATCACATGTAACTGACTTGTAATTCAAAGGAGATAGTGTGACTGCATGAGATACCAATGACCAATACTTTTGATAGGGATGGCAAATTCTGGAGTCATTTTTGGAGGACTTTATAGGGGAAGCTTGTTACTAAACTCTAGTTCAGCTCAACAGCTCAACCACAGACAAATGATCATACTGGGTGGTGAGTAGGAGTTTGGAGAATCTCCTGAGGTGCTTTATAGGGCAGAACATCAAGCAGTTGGATTTGATTCTATTTGAAGATCAATTTGCTTACAATAGATTCATGAGTCAGACTATAGGACATACTCCCTTTGCGATTATGTATGGGTGCAACCCATTCATCCCACTTAAGTTGGTACCACTTCTTTATGCTACAGAGGTTAGTGTGAATGTTGAGTCTAGAGTGCAAGAAATTAAGAGGCTGCAACAGGAGGTAGAGAGAGAGATCACCAAACAAAACAACATGTACCAGAAGCAAACTAATAAAACCAGGAATAATTTGACTTTTCAAAAGAGAGATCTTGTTTGGGTCAGATTGTAAAAAGAGAGTTTTTCTGTTGGATCTTTTGGTAAACTCAATCTCATAACAGATGAACTTTTCAACATCCTTTAGAAGCTGAATGACAACGCCTATAAGATTGACTTACCAGTATATTATAACATTTATGCTATCTTTAATGTGGCCGACCCAACTCCATTCTACGAGGAGATAGAAGATTTGACAAATGAGGTCGAAGCTCTCCCAACTCTGGGAGACTGATGCGGGGCGTCTTATTTACCTGGATCAGTTTGGTCCAGGGTTATTTAGGGCCGGCCAACTCTATAGTTTTGCACGTGCCTCCTCTTTTAAGAGGCAGAGACAGACGCGGGGCGTCTTATTTACCTGGATCGGTTTGGTCTAGGGTTATTTGGAGCCAACCAGGTCTCTAGTTTTGCACGTGCCTCCTCTTATAAGAGGGGGCCCACTTCAAGTTATCCACATAAATATATTTACTTTTGTTGGTGTTTAGAACTTTGTTTTTTCTTTGATTTCCTTTGGGAGAGCTATCGGCGTCTCCTTCTTTTTCTACGATTTGTATCTTAAGGTTCCAAGAGTTTCTTTGATTTACTTTTCCCCCATCCTTTCTCGTATCGCTCCCACATCCCATTCCTTACTTTACTTTTGTTGCTGCCTAGAAAATAGGAAATTTGTTGTTTTCTCAGTCCAGCCTGCAGCCGCTGCCTAGTGACAGCAGTTGCTTTATTGTCCTCCCCTTCCAAGTTGCTAGCCGCCTCCTTGCCACCATCATTGAGGTTCAAACTCTAGCTGCCACCATCTATACTCAATTCCCTAGTATTACCCATCATTATTTGTTTTCATTTTATTGTACTTTGAATTTTTTGCTTCTATAAAATTACTAGTGTTTGTGTTGTGTTTTTCTCACCTTATGCACATAAAGCTTCTGGTACTATGGCGTATATGTAAAAATCAAAGTTTAGGTGTTAGATATGTAAATACATAAGAATTGAATGGTATGTATGTAAATCTTCATTCAATCTAAACTTGGTAGCTTTTTGCACAGTTTTTTAATGCTTCATTTATGATATTTACATTTGAAGCTATGTTCTGGTTCAAGTCATTTCTGTAATATACTAAAGCTTCTGCAGAAGATTGCTCCAATTTGCTTTCTGAGTGGTATCAGTTTGTGCAATTCTTTTGTGGGCATTTCGGCACTTCCTAAGGTTATGAGTGTAAGAAATTCTTACAAATGTAAATACGTTAGAAAAGAGAATATTATGAGGAATGAAGAAGCCTAGCAGTCTTCTTCTTCTTCTTCTTCTTTTTTCTTTTCCATTGAAATAATTTATAACAGGTCTGAGGTTCAAGTAATATATTCTTGAGCAGAGTTATTGTCCAGAAAGGCATTGATGCTACCATTATAGTGAAGGTAAATATCTTCCCTTGTTGACAGGCATCTGCTTATGTTTGTTTAGTTGCCCAAATCTAAAGGGGGATTTACGTGAACTTTACATAATACCAAATATTTTTAGAATATTTTCGCATTAAATATCTGAATTTTTATATTTATACAACATCATTATTTTTAAATAAGTAGTTTCTTCCGCCGTAGTAGAAAGCCAGAAAGCTTTAATGGGATCTGACAAAGCCTTTATATTTATACAACATCATAATTTTAAATGCTATTATTATTATTATTTGAATCTTATATTTCATATACTATATTTAAAAAGTAATTACTATATGTTAAGACTATTATAATAATAATTATTTATTATATCACATTTAAATAAATTTATAATTTAATATATTTCAATTCAATCTCTATTCAATTTTTGAATTTTAGATCTTCCGTTCAATGTTTGGTCCAGTTTTCGAAACTGAATAAGGATTTAAAAATTGAGTAAAAGAAGATGCTAGATTTGTAAATAGCAATGTATTAAGTGTTATGTATGCGAATGGCCTCTTTTTTTATATTTTTTGAAGTATCGTCTTAGTTGTGGTTCAGACCTCAATAAAGATACTTTAAATATATGGATTTACTCGTGCAATATGTATTGATTAATGCCTCCTATAAATTATGTAGATTTACATACATGCCACTCAAATTCATATGTATTTATATATTTAATAGCTAAATTTTTTTTATTTTTACATATTAAAATTTAGAATAGTGATGTATTGATGTGATACGAAGGTTTGGGTAGTTTGTAAAGAAATTAAAATTTAGATGTTATAATTGTAAATAAATAGGATTAATGGTGATAAGTTTGGAAGCTAGGTAGGCCGTGGCATGGGTAAGTGGATTGGCCCAAAAAAAGGTGGACGAAATTCAGATGTTAGACATGTAAATATATAATAATACAATAAGAATAAGAAGAAAAAAATACATAGGAAAACACAGAAATATCACGCAAAAGCACATGAAATGTACATCTCATGCAGAAAAATACAAATCAAATGGCTTTCAAATAGCTGAGTTGGGATAAACAAACAATCTTCAGGGAATGAAGTATGAACAACAAGTATTTACCGCAGCTAAAGGCTGCACATTGAGAAGGGTACAGGATTGAAATATTCAAAAGCATACAATTACTCCCCACATAAACATATGATGAAGGGCCACACAAACCCCAACAATTTTTGCTGGCAAGTTACGATCAAATAACACCCTACCAAAAGAATAAATTTACTTTACATCGAACAGCTAAGCCCAACCTCAACTCCAAAAGCTAAAGATTACACCAAAAAGACATCATAAATCATAAAAAGGGCTATTGTTGCAACCTGTGATCAATATATTTTCCTCAATGCAATCTTGTCAGCTCTTCAACTCTCTTGCAAAGCTCTTCTACGGGTACGCCGATTGTTCTAGAAATTTCCTCCATTCTACTACGGCTGAGATCTAGAAAGGACTCGATCAAGTCTCCATCTAAGAAATTACGAGCATCCACCGTCTTCTTTTCGTTGTTGAACGATCTCCATTGCTCGTGGCTGAGCCCGCCGACACCTTTTATGACTTTGACGAGAATTGACTGAAGCTTCTCAAGGAACACATAGTGATCGTGGGGGAGAGAGGCGACGATACCAATCACACCATTGACGGTGCCGAAGATTACGGTGGGGATGTTGCCCGCTTCGGAGTCTGGAAGACGCATTACGAGTGAACCGTGGCAGAAACGGTTCACGAACTCGCCCAGGTGGTACTCCCCCACAACTTCGAGACGGCCACGCTCCTCATCTGTGGCTCCGTCGCTGTTCTTCCTCACTGTGAAGAGGTTGAAGTTGTTCTCGGCGCCAAGGTAAACATCATCATCAAGGATTTCAACTGCAGTCATCCAGTTTGCATTGTAGTCCCGGGCACGTTCTTCAATAGCACCCTCCTCGTGCTGAAGAAAAAAAAAATCCAAATTAAACAGCGATACAGACAGTAAATCGTTAATTTGTACAATGCAACTATTAATGGCGCATTTGTAAGTTTGAACGATCAAATAATACAAATCCATATGCATGCGTATTTTGCATCGGTGGAAGATTAAATACGAGGTAGATAGGGTATCCCCTACAAGTAACAAGTTCTAATCTTTTAAAACACCATCAATTGGAGCTTTAATTGGCAGTTACATGACAAGTAAAATCTATTTCACTACTTTTTTGAAAAACTTTCTCGCATTCCTCACAAACAAATGCAACATCATCGTAATCAAACCCAAAAACTTGAAGAGTTCCCGTCTGTCTAAAGAGGCTAAATTCAAGTTAAGGTTTTGAGGACTTTATGCTCTTTGATCAGATTTTGGCGATTCTGCTAGTATATCAAGGCTCTATTTCGAGCAACTGCAGTTGTTTGGAAAAACAACTGTGAAACTGTTGCTGCGGTGACTATTAAAATATATATTTTTTTGAAAAAATCAGTCTGTAGCTTTCTAGTAGGAAAATGTAGTTTTCAATTGCAGTTTTTTCAGAACACAGATAAAATGCAATTTTTCCAAACAGTAAAAACTGCGGTGCGACACCACACCGCCACCCTAAACACAGCCTAAGTGAGCCTTAAATTCTGTTTGTTCAAATCTTGTAATATATTCTCATTTAAAATCCTCTTTTTCTTCTTTGCAATGTCTTTTTATTTAATCATTTAGTCAATTAAAGTTGTTTTATTTAAACCACGCATAAGGAGCATTGCCTTGAGTATTAGACCTTCCCACCATACCTAGAAAGGCATGCATAATGGGTATTTTGCAATACAATGGTCATATAACTTTCAATACAATGGTCATATAACTTTAAACCCACCACGTTTAAATAAACCCACAATGGCCTTCTTCACCTCTATGACCCTCTTAAGTAGAATGAATATGAACTCTTAAACATTGATACGTCTTTTGTTGTAGCGACTAAAATTTTATCAGAAACTCCAAAGTTAAGGGTGCTCGTACGGGAGCACTCGGGTTACACCAATAACAGAACTGTGAGGCCAAAGCGAACAATATGTCGTCGGTGTTTGAGAATTTAGACTGTTAAAAATGGTATCAAAGCATTACACTAGTTTGAAGATGGGAAATAAGAGGCATATCGATCCACCTCTTGAACCCTAGATGGGACAATATGCTACATGGTGGGAGCCACTTCTTGAATCTTTAAGGGTCACCTCTAGAAGCTTTTTTGCTTGGTGTATGATTCTAAGGGTCTGTTTGGCGCAGCTGCAGATTTTCAGCTTTTCAGCTGCAGCTGCACTGCCCCAGGAAGCAGCTGTGGGGAAGTTGACTGTCTGTTTGGTGCAGCTGCGTGAAAAATGCTGTGAGCCAGCTGTTTTATATAAAAATGACCAAACTGCCCCTATTTGTTAAAACTGTTTAAAATTTTTGATTTATTTGTATAAATATGAGTTTAATATACATAAAATTTATAAAAATATTAATTCTTAATTAATTAAATGAAATAAATTATTTTAATATTCATTTTTATCGGTATTCAAAAGCTTCGACTGACACTTCGGCTCTGTTTGGGAGCACTTTTTAGGTGCGGCGCGGGCATTCGCCGTGACTTCTCGCGAAAGCTGTCCGTTTGGTTCGCGACTTTGGGCAATTTGGCGGTGGCAGCGGGGCGAAAGCGGGCCGCGGGATATCTGTGGCTTCTCCCGCTTTCGACCTAAATTTTACCCTTTTCCCTCTACCTACCCTCGGTGATTCCCGCTGTTTCCCCGCGTCTGACCGTCCACCCTAGGTGATTCCCCGCTGCTTCCCTCGAGTCCCCTTCTCCTTCTCCTCTTTCGTCGTCCCTCGACCGACAGATCTAAGGTAAGACAAGCTATTTTCTTCTTTCTTTGAGGATCTGACGAAGGATTTGCGTTTTGCGGTTCGTGATGGTTTCTCCTTCACATTTCTTTCCTGTTTCTGTCATTTCTCTTTTCTCCTCCTTCCCTGTCGTGGATCTGTTGCTTCTTAACGAACAA